TCTCATTTTCCTTATGTAAAATACTTAAGTTTATTGAATAAAAATAGTTATCCTAACTGACCTTTATATTTGCTTTAACATTTTCTGCTCACATCCTGCCTCTTTCCCATAGGTCTTTTTTGGAAGATGGCTGATAGAGGGCAGCCCATATGTCTTACTGTTCGATATAGGATCAGCAGCTTGGAATCTGGACAGGTGGAAAGGTGAATTTTGGGATGTCAGCAACATAGGGATCCCTTTTCATGACCGAGAAGCCAACGATGCTGTGATTTTTGGATCGTTAACAGCCTGGTTTTTAAAAGAGGTACAGTTTTTCTCTCTAGAGATTTTCAAATCACAGCTCTGTCAGCAGGGTGAAAAAGCTTTGGAAGGTGGTTCCTATTCTGCAGTTTGAAAACTGTGATTTTAAGGACGTTGATATCTGATATAGATAAAAATGTGTATTTAAAATCTAAGTGTCCATTTAATTATATTTTTCTGGGAGAATGGCAGGGAGGAGAGGGAGGAGACTGCCCTATGTGAATCTGCTGTGTCTTTAATGTCGCTTTCCCCTCTCTTTCTTCTAAACTCCCTTATTTGTCACTGGATGCTCTTACAAGTAGGATCTCAAACTCCCTTTTTCTCTTCTGTGTGGTCAAGTGGTCACACTCACAAACTGCCCTTGAAGCTGGTCAAGCCGTATCTCAGCAATTAGATATTACTTTGCTCAAGGAATATAGGCAGACAGGGAGAATTAATGATAGCACTGTGACTTCACATGTGACAGCCTACCTGAAGAGAGGAAACTTTGTTTATCTGCAGAATTGTCTGTCTGTCATAAGTGCTCATCCAAACAAGTGTTTCAACAGCACAAGAGCTAGTTAAAAGAAAGAAGAGTGAGTGTGCTTGCCAGAGCTCCCCAGCACTCTAGGAAGGCTACTGTTCTGAGGCACTAGTGAGGCACATCTTCATGGGCTGAAGATTAGGGCTGGTGGGGATCAAGACACATGACCATTTAAAATGCTGTACTGCGTTGTCATATGAAAGAGACCAAGCAGACAGAAGAAAGCACGAAAGAAGAGGTATCGGGGGCTGGGATGATGAGCAGGTGTGTTTCATGGCTGTTTTTCCTAATTATTTTCAGCTTTCCTGTCAGTTTGACGACAAGCCCAACGTAATTGCCCACTTCCATGAGTGGCAGGCAGGAGTGGGTTTAATACTGTCTCGATCTCAGAAACTTCCTGTTGCCACAATTTTTACTACCCATGCGACTCTGCTCGGGAGATACCTTTGTGCAGCCAGTATAGATTTTTACAACAACCTTGACCAGGTAAGATACATATTTCTCATTCCTTCTTTTTTCAGCTCATCCACTCCTGGCTCCTTTTCAGTTGACTCTGATACACCATGTATTGTATTTTCTGCCTTGTGTGATCACTTGTGATTGAACCATAGCTGAGTGATGGGTTGTCCATTTCAGAGCACAAGAAATGGTAATTGTAAGACCATGACATGCCTAGTGTCTTTATGCTATCTGGCAGGTCTTAAAACTCAGTGAGGCCTAGAATACTTTCACTACCTTCAGTGAACTTTGATTTACCAGATTTGCACTGCAGCGTACTGAAACTCATTCAGCTTGCAGTCACGTCAGTGCCTTCGCCCAATCCACTGATATGTGGAGTAATATTGCAGCAGTACAGGGTTGTCAAGAGAGATTCTTAACCTTCTTTTCAGTGGTTGGGACACTTCTCAAAAGCAAAGGAAGAGTTATGGGACCAGACATCACTGCAAGTCAAGTGTCCTTGAGAATCTTCCCCTTTGTGTCAGGAAAGGCATCCATTGCTTGAGTTGATCGCTATGGTTTGGGAGTCACTTTTAGCAGCATGAGTAACCAGTGGATATAAAACCTATTCAGCTGTAGTCATCATCTGACACTTCAGGTGCAGCCTCACAGGACTCTTTGTAATGAAAGACAGCAGAAAAAATAGCCAGTAGACCTCCTCTTGCTGAAATTACCCTGGAATTCCATGATATGGTTGGTTTTTGGTTTTGTGGGGGTTTTTTTGTTTATTTGTTTGGTTTTTTTCCCCAGCCTACTTCTTAATTCTTGCAAGTCACAGTAAGTCCTTCTACTTTCAAGCTTTTCAGGTTAGGCTTAATTTGTAACTGTCAAATGTAGGAAGTATTTTCTGAGTTCAAAAGACCCGCATCTGTTTCTTGGAATTTTGCGAACTAGTTAGAGGTTTTGGCTTTCACTGTTCTCTTTCCACTCAAAGTGTAATGCAAACCAACATTTTGAGGACGCAGACATCTTCAGCACTGCATTCAGCAGAGATACATTACATGATCTGGGATTTCTAATACGGGTACAGACAAACTGAATTCAAGAGTTTTTTACATTCCAGCACTTACTGAGAGTAGGGGTACTTAAAAGTCTAAAGCAACTGCCTTATTCACTGTCCGTGCATTTCCTTGCCTAAAATAAATGAGGAAAATTAATCAGGTGGCAATTTTCAGTTGGATGTTTGCAGCTTGATAACAACATGGACCAGTTTCTCCCAAAGACAAGGCCCAAGCAGTAGTGTGCTACTGGCCTTATTCAGAAGCACAGAATAGCTTGACATTCACTTGTGCTCCAAGAAAACAACCATTCACGTTATTCCTCTTTCTTTTTTTTTTTTTGTTTTGTTTTTTGTTTTTGTTCTTTCCCACCAAAACCAGCTACTGAATATACTGAACACACTAAGAAGAAAAGACTGTCTCTGCTCATTTACTTGCATGCATAAAGGCTGCAGCATGGTAGCGTTTAGGGGGAATTCTCTCTGCCCAATATGAAGTAACTAACACAGGTATTTAGTCTTCCTAGACTCCCTATATCATCAGTGCAGTTACGCTGGCCTCTTCACAATCAGAGTAAAGCAAACATCCTCAGATTACCATCCGAAACAAACGTCTCCATCTATCTTTCAGGAAAACTAGTCCCCTAAATTAGGTACGTTGATTTGGTGCATTAATGAGGCAGCATGAATAACCCAGTCATGCTGTCAGACCCAAATTTCAGGAGTCTAGACATTCTTACTTCCTCATATTCTCTTCGTGATATATGCAATTCTAGCTTTAAAGTCACATTAAGTTCTTTTTCTCTGGCCAGAGCTACAGTGAAAGAAGTAAACCCATGCAGTTTCAGGTTTAACACTTGAAACTGGGGACTTTTCAGCAGCTTTATTCATTCAGCCTTGCATTCTTATACATGATTTGTTAGCAAGGAAGCCATAGTAAAAAAAAAAAGGGTAAGGGAAGAGGGGCATTTAAAATGAGAAATCAGACTTAAAAAAGGAAAAAAGAATGCTTATTGTTTTACAAACTGATGCTAAAAATATTATGTCAGAGCCTTACCATCCTTTTGTAAAGTAAGTACTAAGAAAAATTTGGTTTGTTTTGTATTCTGGTTAATTTGGTGAACTACAAGTAGTCTGGCAAAGTAGTTTGCTTCTCTCAAAACCAAATTTTTTCTCCCCTTCTCGATATCTTTGAGGGCCTTGCCCTTGTCTGTGTGCTCAAAAGAAAAAGTAATGATCTTACATCTGAGCAGACGTACAGACTTGAACATATTTATAGTCACAGTATTAGTATCATTTCTACTGTTCACACATGACATGGCCAACTTTATATGATCATGTACTGTCTGTCCTTCTGCAAAGTTTCACAAATCCCATTGGTAACTATCAGCTACCTGATAAATACAGAAATTTGTATTCAGATTTTATTCAGAAATGAAATGTATATTATCAGTTTAAAGTATTATTATAAACTGCTGTAAATAACATTTCGTGGAGGAAGCTTGTGGATTTCTAGATGTTAGTGCTTTATGCCCTCTATGGAGAGATTGACATTTAAAGGTACTAATAGAGGAAATGATGCCAAGCTGTTATACAACTATTTAACATGTGTACAGTGTGCTAAACCCTTTCCTGACAAAGTTAACTTTTAGTAAGAGATCAGATATCTTAATGAGGGCTCCTTTGGCTTTAAAAAGGTCAACCTGGCCCAAAAGTCAGTTAAGAAACATGTTTATCTGCATCTGTAATTAAATGATACAGATAGCTAAATCTTCAGAGGCTATTCTTGTTGCTGTCTTCTAGTAGGAAACTATTAAGGTCAAATAAGCAATATATCCAGTGGAGGTTTTTCTGGACTTCCTAATGTTTAATCTTTGGACAAGACAATATATTTTTAGGGGGTGTGTCATCCCCTCCCACCCCAAGGTAGAATAGCTGGTTTTCCCGTTTTAGTGCTATGGCATAATTTTCTTCCTCTAAAGCATAATAATAATTGACTTTTAAGTTCTCACTTTTGGTCATTTCAGACCATGATTTACACCAGCTTTAAGCACAGCAACTGAGATAGGTGGGAAGGATGCAGCTGTAGCATGGGCTGTGCCAGATACCACAGAAAAAGGGTTGCAGCACGAAAGGAAAGGGTACGGCTTAATTGTGCCTAGAGACAATCAGGCATGCACAGCTCTGACAGAGAAAAGAGGAAACCCCATGCTCCCTTTCCTAGCCCCCAACACAGTCCACAAAAAGCTGGCTTAGAACACCTGCTAGAGAGAGCTTAGTGCTCTGAGGCCAAGTGCTTTTCTGCAGTGTTGGAGGATTTAACTGTGGGATCCACAGGCAAAACCATGACGTGTTTGTTTGATGACTGATGAAAGATATTTACCTGGCATCTTCACAGTCCTTTCCCTCTCTCCCTTAACAGTGCCCTGTGTTGTAATATTTCCTGCTAGCCCTGGCAGTGTAACGCGTTCCCACTGCCCTGTCTGTACCGCACACGTGTGCATATGAAGCTCTTCCGCTTCAGTGTTAAACTACCCCTGTAGATAAGCAGGACCAGAAGATAAGAGCTGAAAAACCTCTTAAAAATAGAAAAGTTTACTGGGATTTCCTTTCTTTCTCTGGATTTCACAGTGGAAAATACCACTTTAATTCACCTTCCTAGCAAAGCTCAATAGGTGCCAACTGGCACAAGTATAAGAAGTACAAATGTATTCTCTGCAGTAAGCCAGTGAGGTCAGTAGCTTTAGACCAGACAAGACTTTGGCCCAAGGGCCAGCCTGTTTGGAGCGCATGTCAATATCTATGACCAGGCAAAGGGCTGCGCGGTGCAGTGCGGCTGATGTTTTCTCTGGCAATTTTATGAAAAAAGAGCTCAAGTTGCCAGTTCCTGTCAGGTAACAAAACTGGAAGGGAAGGCTCCATGTCATCTTCCGATAGCCCTGAGAAACACCAGACCTCTGAAAACTTGACCTTCAACCTTATTAGTCTTTTGGGTAAAAGTTAAGAATGACTTGGTGAAGAGTTGCCACACTAATGGGTGATTCCTTATGGACTCCCTAAATCATGGAGTGGCCTGACTGTAGGTTACCAAAACACTGTTCCATGAGCTGAGGGCACATGTCAGCCTGTGAGCTGTAAGAGGACAGTTTCTGGGGAACTGAAAACTTAGTCTAGTAGATTAGAGCTGTAGACTGCTGGAAGGTAGGAGGGTGCATTATGGATGTAATGACTAATGCCTGGTTCCTGAACTATTCCCGAGCCATCTGCTCTTCACCTCAGTCACAGACAGGATCCTGGTTCTTGCACAGCATTACTGCATGAGGTTATACAATTCTTGCATTCTTACTGTCTTAACTCAGTTCATCTGGGCAGGGAGGAATTCAGCTGCCTCTGCTGCAGTGGAAACCTGGGTGTTTAACCCTTCACAGTGTGCACAGGAGCACAGCGAACACCAGAATTAACGCTGTTGTCCTCAGCATCTAACAAACGGATGGGCTAGGATGAGCTAAGGAACCCCGAGGCAATAACCATTTAACAGCTATTCAGGATATGTTTTAGTTCCTAGATTCACATTTAAATCACTCTGGTTCTGGAAGAAGTAAGACACAGAAGGTGACTTGCACAGGAACTGGTAGTGTGTGATACTTTACTTTAATTTTAAGCATCTGAAGAACTCTAGGTAAACTTCTGGGTTGGGACTGCTAACCCTACATACAGGTTAGTAGCTTGAACTCTTCCTGAGTCAACATTTTGTGATTTCAGTAGCAAGCAGGGTATGTTATGAGCTTCATTCCCATCAGAGATATCCTAGACATAACTATCCAGATCTAAATAGTCCAACCAGTAATGCATTTTTTCTCATTGTCCCCATGTCCAGTGTAGTTTTTACATTACTGAAAGTAAGGTTACATTTATTGTTAAGATAAACTGAACCAAAATAGGTAATCCAGACAGTAGGAAGTTACGTGGAAAAAAAATTCTGAGCCTCTAG